CCAGCACTTCTGCTACTGCCGCTGTTATTGACTTTGCGGCAATATTGTTCGGCTGACTCATCAACAATATATTGACCGCCACAACGACAGTCGTATGTGTAAATGTAGGCAGGCAATTCATGGCAATTGTTGTTGTCACTTTCCATTCCTCCTTGGGCACTGCCATCATCATCGACATCGTCATGGTGTTCGAGTTCAATCTCGGTGTTGAGACACTTTTTCATTTCTTTCAATTGTATGTGGGCATAGATATTGCTGTGCGTATGAAATTTATTTAGCAAAAGTTCAGCATCGTAACGTTTACGCTTTAAAGGGTCTTTAAGGCAATTCCATGCCTCGGTTATGGCCACAAATTCTGCCTCTTGCCGTTGTGGTGATGGTGTTGTTGTTGTTGGGTAATTAGGGTCATTTTCTAAATTTATTGTTTTTGATGATGATGATGGGGAAGAGGAACTTTCATTTGTAGTTTGTTGCTGTTGTTGTTGTTGTTGCTGCAATTTATCCGGATGACATTGTAAAATTAAATTTTTATAATTCACTTTTAATTCCTCCACAGTGGCAGACGGTGTGGCATTTAAAATTTCATAGAAATTACGTTTTGATGACATGATGTTGGCTGGAAGAAGAGTAAGTCCCCGCAAAATCAAATAACCGTAACCAACTGGCACTGAGGTAGGTAATCTGTAAGAAATAAAAGAATTGAAAGATAGTTTTATCGTTTCTTTCTGTCAGGTTACTTTAAGGGTACTTACATTAGCATATGAACATAAGTACACCACAACGAGAGGAGGTTTTGGATGAAGAAGATATATGATTTTGTTTTTGTTTGTTTTCGTTTTGTTGTTTCTTTTCGCGGCTTATGAATGAATTCCAAATGGGCAAGCATATGATGATTCCAAATAATGTAGTTTGTTTTTGTTTCACTTCATTTGTTTTATTGGCAAGGTGCGCCACACTCCCTGATAAGAAAAGGGCGAGCGTAAACAGGACACACCTCAAGAAATACCTTAATCATTAAATGAGCATGCATTGATGATGCAATAAGGATATGGAGAATGACATAATAGTATCATAGAATATAGGTTAAAAGCGATTTAAACAAGTCAGTTACATGAAATAACACATGACTCCCGTTTTTACCTCCAGCGTAAAATGGAGGGTACTCAATGTTAATCTTCAAATATATATTGCTCATATATGAATAGACTGGGAAAATGGGGAGAAAAAGTGGATGGCAAACATAACTTTTTCTTGAGCGCATTTTCCTAAAATCTAGATTTTCTCTCCGACTATCGTTACACGTCTTATTTAGGACATTTCACGATGATTGATATTGGCTATTATGTGGATCTTCTAACTCCCCCAATAATTGTACTAGGTGGGTAAGCATTCCTTTTACAGCGTAGATCCTAGTCTTCTTCTGACTCATCATCGGAGTATAGAACTTCATCGCAATCTTCTGAACAGCAACCAATTCAATTGTGAAGAACTCCAATTATGGATCGGAGGTATATTTTTAATCGCTGCGGTTTAGGAAACCATACCAGGTTACATCGTATTGAAAAAGGATCGCACTAGAATTGGGGGTGACGGTTTAGCACCATTCACAATGCTGTTCAATACAGACCCAACTCGTTTGAGCTAGTCTCTAGTGACCGAAACATAGAATAAATGGTGGGGGTAGCAATCAAATGTGGAAATGTCGAGTTAGAGGTGCTTAATGTATATTCCCCGTGTTAATAGCTATGAGCCGCGTTATTTGTTAGACATTAGTCTGCTGTGGGAAGGCATCATTTGCCTGGTACTAGGGAATTTTAATACCTACCATGAATTGTAGCATTCCACCCCAGATACTACTAGAGGGCGCCAGTGTGGACAGAGCAGATTCAAAATCTGAGGAGAGTATCACAGTCCCCCAGTCATAACCATAGTGTCACCCTGTAGGACAAACGCTGCGACTAGGCAACCCTTTTTTCTTTCGGATCAGAGCATCTCCCCAATAATCATCTCCCTAAGCAGGTTGCCCGATTTCATAACCTCTGGTTGTCGCACATGGATACAAGAGAGTACATCAAACTTTACTTCAGAGAATTGTCCAACCCTTTTAATGTTCGGGTAGCAGAAAGGATTTTCTGAGACATCATCAAATCTGCAGCCGCTCGCTATATACCTGTTGGTCGAATACTCTAAATAATACCAAATTTCCCAGTAAAAGCAGCGGGACTAACAATCTAGCGTGATGAGATCCGTCGTTTTAACTCTACTTATCCCAAAGTCAGCGAACTGACTATGGGGGTATTATCGGAGTACAAGAGGAAAAAGTGGCTAGAGCATTTGAAGCGATATGAGTAAGCTCTCAAACCCTAGGTAAGTCACGTTCAACGACGTAACAGTGATGGGAAGAGGTGTACATGTCACTTTAACCTCCAATTTTTAAGCATCCCTAGAGAGAAAAGTCGAAACGATGAGTAATACGTCATACAAGGCCTCTTCCCGCCGAGGATGTACAACCACAGTTAAAGATGCCTGATTTACGTTGGCCCTGGGCTGAGTATAGAAGCAATGTTTAATAGCTGGATACTTCGTAGTAGAGTATCTCATTAGAGCCCTCAACCAGTCGTTACCTATCTACATCGTTCCCAAAGCCAGGAAAATGGAAAGGAAGGCCACGCCACTGAACTCTGGCAAGGATACCAGTAAAAGCGGATTATACAGGCCAATTTCTATTTTGTCGCCACTAGCAAAGACTCTGGAGGAATCAGGGGAAGCTATCCAGTTGCTAGCCATTAACACGAATTCCGTCGATAACACAGTACCACAACACCATTGCACGTCATATCCACACATATCAGTCGAAGACTATACCAGAACAAACTACCCTGGTTTGTCTAGGCATCTGGTGTTTTTCAGCTGCATAGGACGGGGCGCAACGAGGTTTAGAGGACGCCAGTCGCAGGTGGAATTTCAGAACAATAAGGCAAAATCGCATAGGGTGAAAAAGCGAGTTCCCAGGGTTGGGCTGATATATCCCGAACTGTTTTATCTCTAACTTTTCGGAATTCCGCCCATCTTCTTGCTAAGTGTTCAGACCTGCCAGAATGCTGATCAGTGAAAGGCAACAGGATTTTTATGACATTTACATGCGGAGGAGGAGGTCCTTATCGTACCCCAGCATAACCATATGTTTTCATTGCAGTACATGCTTGGGCGTTACCATGGTAGAAGAATATAAGTAGACGCATCGACACAGCTGCTGGGACATTTAATTGTCAAGCCAATTTCGGAATTGAAAATGTTGAATGAAAAAATATTTAAATTTGTAAAAAATGTTGAAAAAACGCGAATTATAACAACCTCCGGATGACGTCGTATAAGAAAACATATAAAGATCTACTTATATATTGGAAAAAAAAAATCAAAAATGTTTTTGACATATCAATGTTCCCAAGCGTTGATGCGTCTACATGTATTTTCCTTCCATTGGTGTTACCGTGTAGACTCATATGGTGGATAGTTATAAGAACCTAAACAATCTGGAAACGGAGTACCAACGTTAAAGAATAGGGCGTCGCTAGGTCAAGAAGTCTGAGCAGCATTCATACTTGAAGAAGTCACTAATGTTATTAACCTATACGGGCTCTTGAAATTCACAAGGGGTATTCCTTTATTTCTAATCGAATTCAACACAAACCTAATAACTCCTAATGATTATACCCCCACAATATTCTAGATTTAATGATTGTACGAAAGGAAATCAACGATAATTACTGGCATTTTCAGTAAGCAATTTGGGACAACAACAAGAACCCAACACCCATATTGGGGAAAACCATAGAAAGAAAAAAAGAACTAACGACATCCACCGAGAAAAAATCAATCATTAGTTGACCAAAAAAAAAACTATGAACATTGACAATGTTCAGCTTAAGAGGGGTGGGACAGACAGACGATATTCAATACGAAAGACCGGCCGATAGAAGTTAAAACAAAATTGGTAGAAGAAAAATAAACAAAAAACATATGTATGCAAGCAGACTTGCGTGTATGTGTGTATGAGTAGTTTAGAAAAACAACAGCAACAACAAAAACAGTAAATTCTATGATATGACAACATAAACGACAAGAGTGATCAACGGTCCGACCAACCAACCGACCGACCGGTAGTAACGGTATAAACCGCGCAAAAGCAAAAGAAAGTTGCATGGAAAAGTAAACGAAGACAAAAAAGGCAAAACACACATAGATTCCTTTTTCCTCCAGAATATCCCCCAAATACAAACACTACACGCCAACACACAATCCATGCTAGTTGTGTTGTTTGGGGGTGGTGGCAAGTGGGGGATGGTAGAGAAAGGAAAGAAGGTGGCATGATATGTTGTTTACTCCACTCCAAATGCAGTGACCCAATTTTTTCATTCACTCTGCAGCAAGAAATGGAGATAATTTACAAAAACTACTGGAAACTCTCTTCTTTCTCAACCATTTTTTTGAAAACGGTAACTAAAATTCAAAATTTTAGAATAGATTCCATAAAATAAAGTAAATTAAAAGATAATACCTCTTAACATATGACATCTTTTTCCGGGCCGCTTCCCATCAGCCTAGCATTGTCTTTCAACACCCCACAGCCCAACCCCATCAGTGAGGCTTCTTTTTTTGTTTTATTAAAGCAAGTAAAATGCGTTGATGATTAATTTTTATGCAAATTCTTTAAACACACACAGCACACAGACAGACAGATAAATAATACACACACTACCTTAGCAATAAAGTGTCTCTCAAAGGTTTACATTGAAGATGAGAAAAATACCAAAAAAAATCACACATTAATTGAATTTACTTAATACTACTTTTTTTAATAATTATTTTATTCATTTGCTGTGATACACATATGTGTGATTTATATGCGGCGCTCGCTTGCTTGCTTGTTATCTGCTCCCCAAAGAGAGACAAGACAACAGCAAACCACCAACAACAATAAAAAAACAACACACACTTACCTTTTTTGGAAAATGGATCAATCCAGCCAGCAGGCAGGCAGGCAAGCAGCAGCAAGAATATTTTGTGTTTTTGTTGTAACAAGATGAAAAGGAAATGATATCCACCAGCAGCAACAACAACACCACAAAATTAATGAAGATGATGGGGTGCAGAAATGTAAAGTTATGTTTTATTGTAGGCAGTGATTGGTATTTATTTTTCTTATTTTCTTTGATTAATACATATTTTATATGTATTTATTTTCAATATATATTTCATGCGCTTTTTTTTCTTTCGTATAAAAACTTTTCACACACACACGAACTTCTTCAAAAAAATAAATTCACAATGCGAACAATTTTTTCTGCTGTTCCGTCCGCCGCAGACTAGGGTACAATAAGTCGATTTTCCACCAACTGAATAATAGGTTACTAGAAATGATAGAATGGTATAATCGGTATTTTCTTTGTTGTCAGGTCTGTTTGATAACCGGTACTAGAGAGGCATATTTTATAAACCGTTTACATTGATAATGATAAAGCGTTTACTTTCATCTGCAGATCATTAACATGATGCTTACACAAGACAAGTCGACTTGGATCAGGTATGTATCTGTTACTAAAGTCATGTTTGCGTTAGAGCTTTGTTCCGGGCTAACCTTGGTTATGAAGATTTATTTAAGGTATACACAATGGAATTGACAATTTAAACGGACTTGGGTTCCTAAATCCTTTACAACGTAAACACACATGCACCAGTTTTATTATTTCCGTCACTGCATTTTTCTAAAGACAATAAAACCCATAGTACAATTATGGTCATGGTTAAAGGTATGGTCATATTTAAATTAAATCATTTCCAAGGCAGAAGAGTACTAGGCCTCAATTCTTGTTCTATGAAAACTTTTATAAAGGAAAGAAATGTCAAATGAAAAATTTTATAAAGAAAATATTTTTTCATTTCATATTTTCATGGAACAAGAATCCAGTCCCTGGTAGTCGCATCGCCACAAAATTATTAAAATTTGTAAAAATTGTTGAAAAATGCATGTCATAAAAACCTCCGATTGGTGTCGTATAAGTAAACTTATAAAAAATTACTTATTTTCGAAACAATATTTTAAAATTTTTGACACATAAATGTTTCTAGGCGTAGAAACATCTACATGTATTCTTCTGTCATGACAAGAACTAACATCACCGAAAACGTTTACCTCCCGATATCCGGTATTTTGATGATTTTAGCGACATTATTTACCGGAATTGTTTTAAATTTGGTATTTGAAGTTCGAAATGGACACTAAAGCCTAAGACAGAAAATTGTCTGTGCAGGTCTACGTCTTCGTATAGCCCCCATGTAACAACACCTCCCGATATTAAGTTTTTTTTATGATTTTAACGACATTATTCACCAGAATTGTTTCAGATTTGGCATTTGAAGTTCGTACTGGATACTACAGCCTAAGACAGAAAATTGTCTGTGCAGGTTTACGTTTTGATATAGCTACCATATAATGGTACCTCCCGATATTCGGTATTTTGATGATTTTAGCGACATTATTCACCGGAATTGTTTTAAATTTGGATTTTGATGGTCGTAATGGATGCTTCAGGATATGATAAAAAATTGTCTGTGCAGGTCCACGTCTTCATATATCCCCAATATAACGGTACCTCCCTATAATTCGGTATTTTGATAATTTTAGCGACATTATTCACCGATTTTTTTTTAAGTTTCGCATTTGAATACTATAATGGCTTATGACAAAAGTTACCCATGCATGTCCATGTCGTCGTATAGATCCTAATAAAACAGCTATATTCGATATTTTTAAGAATTTAATAGACTTTTTAACAGATTTTATTGTTTTTGAGAATTTCCAAATTCGTTCCAAATGGTGAAGGGCATGCATGGGGCTGAATTCTTGTTCTATGAAAATATGAAATGAAAAATATTTCATTTATAAAATTTTTCATTTGACATTTCTTTCCTTTATACAAATTTTTATCTTACATTTTCATAGAACAAGAATTGAGGTCATGGTGGAGTACTTCAGAAAAGGTTTGCCATATTCGATTCAGCAAATGAGTTTGCATTTATTATTGTTTTGCCATGACGCAAGGATCAAAAACAGTCGTAGTTTTAAAATTACATTAGTATACGTTTCTGTAAACCATATATAAGATAACTTAATATCGATTGAAATCTTTGACAATCGATAGTACTATCGGCAGAGCCATCGGCCGTTTGTCATCACGAGGGATTTGGCGTGCGAATTTGAACTTGTTGGTGACAAGGAAACCAACAAAGCAAACAGGGAGCTCGGAGACCGAAGTTAAACGAAATTGGAAAATTTACCAGTCTCCCAATGGTTTGCAAGTGTCGCGAACAACCAATTCGGAACTAGATAATAGAGACAACGATTTAAAGATAAGGATATACCTTGCAGCAAAGGTAAAGGAATGGGACCATCAATGTTGGCAAAGGACCTGTTGCATCTGTGATCTTTAATATGCCTCCCATTTCCGTTGATTTGAATAAAGCACATTCTCTCAAATTGGATAAAATATAACAAAAATTAACTATAACACAACTTGCCATGTTCAAACAGTCAGCCTTTGCCATTTGGCGCAAGGAACAGGAGCAGTACAAAATTATTTCATTAATCAAAGATTTGGATGATAGTTTGGCCGGTGGCATATCATTGGGTCACATTACAGAGCTTTGTGGAAGTTCGGGTACGGGCAAAACGCAAGTATGGTAGGTACATAATAATATTATAATATGAAAGGAGATCACTTAAAATATATTTTTCTATTTAGTTTGCAATTGTGCATAAACGTCCAGCTACCTCGGGAAGCTGGAGGACTTGGTGGCAAGGCTTATTTTATTGATACAAATCAAGCATTTTCTCCATTTCGTTTGAAGGGTAAGTTCTTGAAAAACAAAAGTAATAAAATGAAAATGACGGATTTTTTTTAGAAAAGCTATTTCAGATTGAAATTATATCATCCTAAAAGTATGCTAAGATTATGCACTTTTTAATCATTTGTTTACTCGTTTTATGGAAGCAGAAAAACTGTCCTCAGCAACTGAGCTATTGTTTTTCCATAGAAAATAACCTGCCCAAGTGTCGGAGGCATTTTTTTCTATGGAAAAAATTAATCGCTGACTGATATAGCTTTTCTTTTAAAGAAATATTTTTTTTCAATTTTTTTTCTGTAGGGACGTTCCCCAGTTATTTTTTTTATAAAATATATATCCTCATTAGCATTTGTGTTATTTAAACAGAATCTGTCCTCAGTGACTGAAGTATTTTTCTATTGAAAAGGTTTTAAGTAATTTTTTTCTATAAGAAAAACTAAACCTCACTGTAACAATCATTTTTTATGGAAAAACTTGGCCTCAGCTCCTGAGACAATTTTTCTCTGGACAAAAAAAGGTTTTTCCTATAGAAAAAATATGTCCTAAGTGACTAATGGCGTTTTTCTATAAAAAACTACTTCATTGGTGTTATGGAGGAGCCATTTTTTCTATAGAAATAAGTCAGAATAAATCCGTAGAAAAAAAGATTGTCCTCAATGTCTAAGGATTTTTTTCTTTGAAAAATCTTTCCTCATCTATTGAATGTTTTTTCTACAGGGTGAGATAAAAAAACTGCAACAAAGTCAAACGCCATAATTTTTACATATTTTTTAAATTTTATTGAATAAAAGCAAAAAATGTCGGAAATAACATCAAATCGTAGAATAAGTTTAGATTTGTTCGAATTATGGCACGAATTATGACCTTCAAACGGCCAATGAAACCGTCACACGCTGCCCGAATGTTGCTCTGCGGTATTTTGGCCCATTTCTGGCGAAGCGCTTGCTCATAGATGAGCCCTGTAGGTTTTCTATGGGTCATAGATGAGCCCTGCACCTCATCTGCAGCTCATCTATGGCTCATAGATGAGCCCTGCAGGGCTTCTATGGCTCATAGATGAGCTGAAGGTCTTCTATGGCTCATAGATGAGCTGAAGGTCTTCTATGGCCCATAGAAGAGCTGAAGTTCTTCTATGACCCATAGAAGAGCTGAAGGTCATTTATGACCCATAGAAGAGCTGAAGGTCTTCTATGACCCACAGTAGAGCTGAAGGTCTTCTATGACCCATAGAAGAGCTGAGGTCTTCTATGACTTCTATTACAGCTGCAGGTCTTCTATGGCTCATAGAAGAGGTGTAGGTCGGACGAGTGACTGTCCGACGAGTGACTTAGAAATGACAGCAGACTGAAGTTTGATGCGGTTTTCTGTGTTCCTCGGTATCGGAGGTGTTTTTTTGCTATGAAAAAAAAAACAATATATTCTTGTTTCTTTCCAGAAATTGCCCAGCACATGGAGGCCCGCTTGCAACGTAACTTCGCGAAATCTACCAATTTTAATGTTGCAACCATACTTGATAGCATTTCCTATGTTTATTGTAACAATTATCGAGATTTAATAGCCAGCGTTTTAAATCTGCACAACATTTTACAAGAGGATGAAGAGTGTCCCATCAAATTAATTGTCATCGATTCGTATGCCTTTGTGCTAAGGCAGTTGGATGATGTTGACTTAAGGACACGTGTCAATTATGAAATATTAACAGATTTACACAATCTAGCCATGAAATATGGGGTGGCGGTTAGTAAACAATAAAATTTTATTTAAAAATTAGATTTAATCATAAAAATCAACTATTTCAGATTGTCATTACAAATGAGCTGACAACACGCTGTCGTGATAATCAAAATTGGTTTGTTTGCCCAGCATTGGGTGATACACATTCGCATAAAATTAACACCAGACTTCTGATGAGCAAGGATACAAATGATGATCATAAGGATTATTATGTTGTTATGATTGATAAATCGGTGTTGTGTAACAAACAGGCATTTCGTTTTAGGGTATGTTTAAATATCTTTTATGTTAGCAAGTTATCTCTAGTGTTTCTTTTCTAAAATTTCAGATAAAATCCAGTGGCATACATAGCATAACGAAACGTTCAACGTAAACATAAAAGACTATCAACCAAAGAAGGTAAATACATCATAATACGTCATTACTTAACTCTGCTTTTTCGGCATGTATTTGCTCACACTATTGCGTCACATGACGCATATCTCTATAAAGATTCTTCAAGACAGTTCATATTTACTTAAACTCGCCAAAGTCTCATATTCTCTAGAACAGCAGATCAAAAGCAGATGATTCAGTTGTTCTCACCCACAGCCAAACTGGAAAAATCCCAAGTAGATCGTTGAGTAAATTTATATTTTATTTTTTCTCTCTCTTTTATTGTTGAAAGATATTTTTAAAATCTCTTACCGCATTCAAATACGTGTAAATATTCTTAAAAGTAATTGCGTTTTTTGTTGTTTGTGATTCATTGTCGTCATAAATAGCTACAGCTTTAAGTCATGCATGGGTTCTAGTTCTGCTTTTAATTTCGCAAACTTGTGACTCAATGCGAACACAGAGTAGTACGGCTCTCTGCGAAACATTTGAGAGCAAAGGAAATCAGATGATGTCAAAATTTGATTCGAAGAGTTTTTGTAGAAGGTTTTGGGAAGATCGTGCCAATGGGACAGAGAAATCAAAAACCAAATTCAAATATTGTCTGGGGATGAAATTAAACAGAATTCAATACTTGTTGATAGACAAGTTACTAGTAAAATGTACAAAAAACCAAAATAAAAGGTTTCTATGGCTCCTAGAAGAGCCCTGTATGACTTCTATGGCTCAAAAATGACCCCTGCAGGGCTTCTATGGCTCATAAATGAGCCCTACAGGGCTTCTATGGCTCATAGATGAGCCCTGCAAGGCTTCTATGGCTCAAAAATGACCCCTGCAGGGCTTCTATGGCTCATAGATGAGCCGTGCAGTGCTTCTATGGATCATAGATGAACCCTGCCGGGCTTCTATGGCTCATAGATGAGCCCTGCAGGGCTTCTATGGTTCAAAAATGACCCCTGCAGGGCTTCTATGGCTCATAGATGAGCCCTACAGGGCTTCTATGGCTCATAGATGAGCCCTGCAAGGCTTCTATGGCTCAAAAATGACCCCTGCAGGGCTTCTATGGCTCATAGATGAGCCGTGCAGGGCTTCTATGGATCATAGATGAACCCTGCCGGGCTTCTATGGCTCATAGATGAGCCCTGCAGGGCTTCTATGGCTCGTAGATGAGCCCTGCAGGTCTTCTGTGGCTTATAGAAGAGCTGAAGGTCTTCCGTGGCTCATAGAAAAGCTTAAGGTCTTTCGTGGTTCATAGAAGAGCCGAAGGTCTTCCGTGGCTCATAGAGCTGATGGTCTTATATGGCTCATAGAAGAGCTGTAGGTCTTCTATGGCTCATAGAAGAGCTGTACGTCTTCTATGGCTCATAGAAGAGCCCTGCAGTTCTTCTATGGCTCAAAGAAGAGCAGCAGGTCTTCTATGGCTCATAGAAGAGCAGCAGGTCTTCTATGGCTCATAGAAGAGCAGCAGGTCTTCTATGACTCATAGAAGAGCAGCAGGTCTTCTATGGCTCAAAGAAGAGCAGCAGGTCTTCTATGGCTCATAGAAGAGCAGCAGGTCTTCTATGGCTCATAGAAGAGCAGCAGGTCTTCTATGGCTCATAGAAGAGCTGTAGGTCTTCTATGGCTCATAGAAGAGTTAAAGGTCTTCTATGGCTCATAGATGAGAGCTACAAGGCTTCTATGACTCATAGATGAGCCCTGCAGGGCTTCTATGGCTCATAGATGAACCCTACAGGGCTTCTATAGCTCATAAATGAGTCCTACAGGGCTTCTATGACTCAAAAATGAACCCTGCAGGGCTTCTATGGCTCATAGATAATCCGTGCAGGGCTTCTATGGGTCATAGATGAGCCCTACAAGGCTTCTATGGCTCAAAAATGATCTCTGCAGGTCTTCTATGGCCAATAGTTGAACTCTGCCGGGCTTCTATGGCAAATAGATGGGATCTGCAGGGCTTCTATGGCTCATAGATGAGCTCTGCAGGGCTTCTATGGCTCATAGGAGAGCTCTGTAGAACTTCTGTGGCTCACAGATGAGCCCTGCAAGGCTTCTATGGCTCAAAAATGATCTCTGCAGGTCTTCTATGGCCAATAGTTGAACCCTGCCGGGCTTCTATGGCAAATAGATGGGATCTGCAGGGCTTCTATGGCTCATAGATGAGCCCTGTAGGACTTCTTTGGCTCATAGAAGAGCTGAAGGTCTTCTATGGCTCATAGAAGAGCAGCAGGTCTTCTATGGCTCATAGAAGAGCAGCAGGTCTTCTATGGCTCATAGAAGAGTTGAAGGTCTTCTATGGCCCCATAGAAGAGTTGAAGGTCTTCTATGGCCCCATAGAAGAGTTGAAGGTCTTCTATGGCCCATAGAAGAGTTGAAGGTCTTCTATGGCTCCTAGGAAGGCCGCGGATTGATTGATTGTATAGTTTTCTTTATTAAAGTCAAAATTTCGTCTCATTTGTCTTGTTGTTAGATTTTCTTTACCATTTTCTGAAGAGTTACAAATTCTCTATTTCCCCTACGCCGACTGAGATATGTCAAACACTTTTGTGATTCACTGTTCAATGCAACAACAAAAATAGTCCGTGAATCAATTGCAATGATTTTCCAGAATCCGATAAAAAAAGCAATGATAATGTAAACCTTAAAACGTCATTAAATATTACGATAAAAGGTGAGTCATTATTTTAAAATACAATCACAAAATAGAACAAGAGAAGCTGCTGGTGTAAAACAAGCAATAACATTTTATATACAAACAACAATTTTCCATTAGAGAACAGAAAGAGGACCCACAATAGAGTATGCTTTATTTAAATTCCTTCTCTCCATTGATTTTATTATGTTTTCATGCTGTGTGTTTGTGTGAGAAAGAGAGAGAGAGTTTCCGTTGACGGTAGCCTATGTGTCTCGAAATTAATGACGTCTTATTATTCACTCATTACTTTATGGGTAATGTGCGATGTTGTTGTACTTGTTTGTAGTCCATACCGGTTTAGTGGTTTAGCAATCAACTAAATCTACGAAGTATCCCAGAAACAAATGTGTAGAAAACAAAAACAAGTTTCCCCTATTATAAAAAGATGGGAAGAAGAAGATAGGCTTATGGAATATGTATGTGAGGGAACTATGAACACAAAGTTTGTGTCACAAACCAATGACGGCCAGTGTTGCCGTTTTAGATTTTTTCTGCCCAAAAATTCAAATGTTTAATATGACTACAGGGTGAGATGAAAAACTGCAACCAACTTCAGGCTGCTGTTATTTGTAAGCCACTCGTCCGACAGCTGTTAAAATTATTCCAGTGACTGCTCATTATATTGTTTACAAGCGTACAAAAGCATTTTGTTGAGAATTTTCCAGAAAAAAAGTTATTCGTGATGGAATTCAAGCGTTATAGTGGGATTTCTTTATATTTGACTGGAAAACCACGAGTGGCTATCGATAGAGCACTCCAACATTTAAATGTGACTAAATCTTTTGTGTCTCGTACCATCGCTCGTTACCATGATAATGGTAGCGTAGCCCGACGTCAAGGAAATGGACGGAAGAAAACAGCAGTATCAGCAGAAATGGTTCGAAAAGTAAAGAAGCGACTTGTCCCGCGTCGCAGTGGCCGAAAGATGGCTCGTGAGCTGAACATATTGCAATTTTCCATTCGGCAAATATTGAAAAATGAACTCGGGGTAAAGACATTGAAATTCCAAAAAGTGCAGAAACTTACACCGCAACAGAAAATAGACTCAAAAGAGCTAAAGAGTTGCTTCGCTTGGCCGAACTGGTGGTGGTGAACTGCCGAATTTGGTTTTCTCCTCTCTGACGAGAAAACATTCGTTGTCCAGCAACCAGTTTGTAAACAAACAAAATGATCGTGTTTACATGCCAAAGAGGTCAGCTGAAAATGTGAACCTTCAGTTGGCCACCAGAACTCAAGCGGCGGCCATGGTGATGGTGTGGGCCGCCATAACAGCCGAAGTTCGCTCTCCGCTCTTATTAATCGACCGTGGCATCAGAATAAATGCCAAATATTATCGCGAAAATATTCTGGAGGCTGTATTAAAACCTTGGGCACGCAAACATTTTGACTACAGACCTTCCCTCAGAACTAACCACCTTCGCACTCAGCACCCGGAACCCAAGAATGGTTGCAAAATGAGGTTCCTCGCTTCATTTCCAGCGCAAAATGGCCACCAAAATCTCCGGATACCAATCCGTTTGACTTTTGTGTCTGGAGTATTTTGAAAAGCAAGGTTGGTACTAAAAAATACCAAAGTGTCGATCATCTCAAGCAAGCGCTTTGCCGGAAATGGCCGTTTGAAGACCATGATTCGTGCCAATGGTGACCAATTCGAACAAATCTAAACTTATTCTAAAATTTAATTCTATTTCCGACATTTTTTGCTTTCATTCAATAAAATTAAAAAAAAAAAGTAAAAATTATGGCGTTTGACATTGTTACAGTTTTTTATCTCACCCTATGTAGTCGGTCTCTGCCGACTTTTGGGTTTGCCTTAGTGGTTATTATATAATGCATGTACGTGTGTGCGGTTAATTAGAAAATAACATCAACATGTCGCCAACACAAAAAAATGTCCAAAATCTGCCCAACTCATACATTTTACATTTTAAAATTCCCACTATCGGCAACACTTATGCCGGCACAATTTTTGTTTGCTATTCCCCATCTATCATTTACTCTCGCTCTCTCTCAGCCACGGTGAATGTTTGTGGCTCTCCCTCCATTAAACATGTTTAGCTCTCTCTCCCCAAAATTGTGGGGGGCCTCTATTGAATGTTAAATTGCCCTCGTTTGCGATGTTTGTTGTTGGATATCGTCAAAATAAACGAAAATAAAAATTCACTGTAGAAGAGTGAACCGTTTCAGTCTTATAACAGTTTTCAAAGCATCAACATCGTTCGTTGTGTGACCAAGTGTTATTTTATTTTAATTGTTACTGGTAAATAGCTTTCTTTTCTTGTTTTTTTTCTTGAATAATAAGATACCTATATATTTACAAAAAAAATAATAGTGTATGTAAATGTGTGTGTTTGTAGTTTATAATTGATTTGCTAATTACTTTTGTTGCCTTAGATTCAAATCGTATTTTTTCACACTGAATGGGGTGAAACATTTCATGGAAAATAAATTAAAATGCAAACCGAAATCGGCAAATATAATAAAAGAGCAAACGATAAAGTGCATGAATACAAGTGTATTTGTATAAATATTTGCATAGTGCCTGTGTATGCGGCTGATCTTTGCCGTCACATATTCTTAGAACAACAGACAAACATCGAGAAACAAATCTCTAAATTTTTGTTTTTTGGGTGCGGCATAGAAGAATAGCATCTAAAAGTGATGAGAAGAGAGCGATCGATTTGATGAATATATTTTCTTAGAAAAAAAAATCTCGAAATTACTTTTTTTGCTACAAAAGTAAATAAAAGAAAATAATGAAAAAATATAATCCTTAGATATAAAGAAACAAGTAAAACAAATATTAGAAATTCTACAATTTTTGTCATCGAATTTCCAAATCCTAAACATATTTTTTTTAGATGACATCATCATCAACGAATTTTGTTTTTGTTATTTCTCGCTCGTTCGCTCTCTCACTCATCAGCAGCCCACCATTGAACATCAAAGGCGTTATTGTGATGCATAATAGTAAACAATTAGAATATAATGTTGTTGTAGTTGTAGTAGTAGTAGTAGTGTACTACTTGTTGTAGTAAACATCATACTTAGCCTTAAAGTTTTTACAATTTAATTGTGGTCTAGGTTCAGTTTGAATCACTTTGATTCACTTTTTTTTAATTAAATTAGAAGGTCATTTTGAAGCTCTCTTGAGATGATTCTTGGGCGAAAAAAAAGCTTACTTCAAATGACTTGAGAATAATTTAATTATTTTTTTTTTGGATCTTAAGAGAATGCTAAGAAAAATATTAATAATTTATCGTCAAAGTCTAATAGAAGGTATATCTCCAGAAGGAGGGGATAACCACAAAAAATGACTTTAAGATAGCCTGTATTCGAGCAAGAGAATGACGAATCAAGACTAAAAAAATTAAAAAAAAAAAACATTAAAGATACCCTACACCAATTTGCTAATTTAGTAGAACTCCACATAACAATTTAAAGATTTGATGGGAGAATTTAATCATACACGCTATGATTATAATTGTAATTTAAAGTTCAAAGAAATAAATATGCCGAAGCATTTGTATCTTTTAAATTCGGACTTGTATTGCCCATTTGGTGCAAAATTTATTTGAAATCAGATAAAGATATATATATGGGAGCTATATCCAAATCTGAACCGATCTCGATAAAATTTGGCAAAGATATTTCTGAGCTGTATTTGATATATTTCCCCGAATATCGTTGTTACGGAGTGCATATTACGGCTGTGGGTAACAAATACAACAAATCGGATAACCAATATATATGGGAGCTATAGCTATATCTGAACCGATCTTTACCAAATTTGGCGTACCAGCTTATAGACTCAATTCGGGAAATATATATAAATCCGAACCGATCTCGACGAAATTTAGCAAAGGTATTTCTGAGCTGAATTTGAAATATTTCCCCAAATATAGTTGTTACAGACGGCTGCGGAGGACAAAAATAACAAATCGGATGAACAATATATATCTGAACCGATCTTCACCAAATTTGGCGTACTAGCTTATAGACTCAATTCGGTCGTAAGTGCCAAATTTCATACCATTTGGGCAAATATTAGACGTTTGGTGCACAATAAAAGGTACACCGAACGAAGTTATATATGGGAAATATATATAAATCCGAACCGATCTCGACGAAATTTAGCAAAGGTATTTCTGAGCTGAATTTGAAATATTTCCCCAAATATTGTTGTTACAGAGCGCATATTACGGCTGCGGAGGACAAAAATAACAAATCGGATGAACAATATATATTGGAGCTATAGCTATATCTGAACCGATTTCGATCAAATTTGACATATTTATTTTGAGGCCTAATTTGGTTGTATGTGCAAAATTCCATACTATTCGCACTGATATTACACGTTTGGTGCACAATTAAAGGCAAATCGGACGAAGATATATATGGGAGCTATATCTAAATTTTTACCGATTATCTCCAATTTCTAAAGGGTTTATCTTTGGGCCAAACAAATATTGTTTGGAAAATTTCATTTCAATCGGATAATAAATGCGACCTGCATTTTGTTCACAAGAATACATGGATAGACGGACGGACGGACGGACATGTATAAATCGATTCAGAATGTGATTCTATGCAGCTCATCAAAAGGAAGTATGGGTCTATCTCGTTTCCTTTTGCCTGTTACAAACAAATGCACAATGATATAATACCCTGACCACCTTGCGGTGTAGGTATAAATATATCAAACATTGTATTTGGTCATTTAGAAGGCTCATAGGAAGTGAATCTCTTCAGAAGGTCCCTGGGATATCTGCAGAAGACTTTAATGTAGTTTTTTTTTATTGAAACTAAAGAATGCCAAAAAAAGCTTCACGAATACTATTTCGGTATATTGACTCATAAATGTATATCTCTTTAAAATAGACCTGTCATGTCATTGAAGAAGACTTAAGATTGTCTTCAATTGAAAAAGAGAATGACGAGATAAAACTAAGAAATGCAAAGAATACTTAAAATACTCATAGGGAGTGTATCTATAGTAGTCTGTGATGTCATTGAATAAGATTTTCAAGTATTTTTTAATTAAAAAAGAGAATGGAAAATAAAACCTTAAGAATGCGAAAATTTCTTGAAAATAAGTAAAATAGCATCAGTCGGTTTTGCCGACAGATGTATTCCCCCAGCCTTGAGTTATAATTGTTCAAACTGTTGACCCTTTATGTGGGAGGTTCTAAAGCAGTTGGACAATACTGACCAAATCGTATATGACCTAAGACTGATAAAAATATTACAACGTGCCAGATTTGAAATATATCGACTACTTCCTACAATTTTTATGAGATATGTGCAAATTTTTGGAAAATGTGTAAATATGCGTGAGGTAACAAATATAGCGGACCGATGTAATTCATTTTCATACTTTATCTAATACAGATAAAAATATTGGTATGTGCAAAATTTGAAGGAAATCGAACATTATATTCTAGTTAAGAGACATTTTTAGATATAGCAAGTTGTAAAGAATCTCCGATGGGAGAAACTAAGCCCAGATTATACTAGGAAGTTGGTGGAATCTACACATTTTCACTTAAATGCCGTTCTGGATAAAATGGGGTTTCCCACCCAGTACTAGAAATGACTGTAGACTGTAGAAAGGTTCGTAAAGGATAATAAAATTGAAAAGGAAAAGGAGAGGAGAGGAGAGACGCACCAAATAGACTTTTTGATGATGAGGCAAATAATCGCTGGATCATAAGGAAAACCAAAGATATGCCCGATCTTATTGCCAAATACCAAGACAAAGTCCAGATCTCAATGTCATCGAGAAGTTGTGGTCTACTTGAAAAAACAAAACAAGAACTCACAATTTTTCGAATGCACCAGATCTTAGGCGTACCTTGATAGAGCATGGGAGAAACTAAGCCATATTTTACTAGGAAGTTTCAGTTCCACTTCTGCATCAAATAAGCTGGAAGTAATTGTATGAAGATCCACTATGTGAGGCCAAGTTGAGGACTTCCAAATTCCACGCATTTTCTATTCTTAAAACTCACTCCTTCTATAAAGACTTGGCATTTGGTCGCCCAGATAACTTGCCTTAAGGTCATCTGTTTAGACTGCTTCTGGCCGTGCAAATATTAGACCCCCTACAGTTCTGCCATACATCCCCTTTGAGACTTTTCCCCCAGGGTGCCTATTTGATTGTATCAAATTGTTTTCGATTTAATTTACGAAGGTGATTCCTTTTGAAACGGAAGAAGATATTTCATTCCATCTGTTTTGGGATTGTAAATAATTTCGCTGTCTTTACAAAAAGCAATCTTGAAAATTTATGACTCATAACTTTTCGTCCGACATGAACTAACTAAATAGTGTGGGTGGCTGTGTTTGTTTTGGAATAACTAAACAAATGTGTGTAGTTATAAACTTAAATACATTAATTTGGTGTACATACATGTGTTCGTGTATGTATGTTTTTTAGCATTTTCTGTTGTTTGCATTTTTATTCTGACACGCATTTAACTTGTCTTGTCTCTCTAGATAATGTCAGTGTATGATTCTATTTTCCCAGTAAAAAAAAAATCACGAGGTCGTCGTAGTTTGTAGATTGAAAAGATAAAAAAATGTATGATATATCGAAAAAAAAAAAACAACATGGAAAAGATACACAGTTAGAAAAGGAAGTTATGTGAAGGGGAATATTCATTTCATGCTTTCATAGGACAAGAATCCAGTCCCTGGACTGAGTTTCATTTTTATCATTGAAGAAACTGCCATTACAGCTTGGTTCCCAATTCAGCTGCTCTGAATTGATGTTTTTCTCATGGAATCTTCAATTAGCCGGCCTAAATTGTAGTTTTCTGATAAGAAATCCAATCTAAGCCGGACAGAATTGAAGATTTCCCAAAGCAAATTCAGCTGACTTAAATTATTGTGATTTTTTTAGTAGAGCAGAAAACATTTGTAAATATATTTATTATCCATGGTCACATGCCATCGATATAGAATATTCTTCGAACTGCTTTTCTGTCAACTCTTGTGTGTTAGTAACACCTTTGGATTTGAGGTTAGATTTGTGTTTGTTTTTGTTTATGTTTTTTTGGGGGGGGGGGGGGCAAAAACTGGTTTTCAAATTATGCCGCCGCCGCCAGCAAACAGACCACGTCATTGTCTTTAGCCAAGAGCCAGATTTTGTCAGCTAGTCACACACACATATACCCGCTTCTTTGCATACAAATGAAAAGCTTTCTTTTTGTGCCGGTTTTTGGGAATTTTGAAATGGCAAAACAACTAAATATTCTTTGCCAAATTAGTTATATGATAGACAAACTTCAATTCTGCACAGCATAATTGTGATATATACCTTGGAATATCTTCAATTCCGCCCAACTGAATTGGGGTTTTAATACAAAATTGGCAAATCTTCAATTCGACTCGGACAATTGGAATATCCAAAGGAAATTTTGGAAATTCATGCCGATCGGGATTCAAAGTTTTACTTGAAATCTGCTTCAGCAAAGCTGAAATAAGACTTCCATAGGGAATATACAATTCAGACCTACAGAAAATCTTCAATGCAACCCGGCCAAATTACTACTTCAGTCCAACTTTCCAAAATTGTGACGTCTCTAGACAATGTGTTATCTAGCCCACCAAAATTTGGAATTCTACAGGAAGTCTTCATTCACCTCCATCCAGTTGTAATATGTTTTCTGTATCACTTTTCCTTTGTGTTTACATGATTTTATGTTCATGTGTATGCCTTACATCTGTTTGTTGAAACATGACGATGATGTCATCGTTTTGGCCATTACAAACATTCTTGCCTATCTGGCTACAGTCGACAATGCTCTATTGAGAGAGTAGACCATATATTGGATACATAGTTTTAGTGTTTTGTAAAATAACTTTTGTTGTTTTTGGTATGGTGGCGGCGGCATATACCACTACGCGCAGACCACAACTGGGTAACGTCATCAGCACTTGAAATATGGTTGTATATCCAACCTTAAAAACTATGTTAAAATTGTTTGTTGTTTTGCCCCAAATGCCAGGGGGAGGGAGAGGGGGCGCTAAAAACTTTCACTTTTCCCCAACATTGTAGATATTTTACTCTCTCTCTGTCTCTCTCTTTTGATAGGCAAATCTTATGCACATGACTGCATTCGTCACCAGCTGGTTGGCTGGTTGGCTTTTACTCAGTGATATCAACTCGCCTGGCACCACTATCTATTTTTCCTCAACCATCCGTTAAGCTATAAAAATGAAAGTACATAGCTGATGAGGAATTGCCGCCTGGCATAGATACAAGTGGTTGAAATTATATTTACCTTGAACTTGATTCAAAAAGACACACCGACAATCGGGCGTCATCATCAACTGCCCGACATTCGCTTTCGCAAGAAAATCCAATGCAATTTCATGCACATATGAAATTGAAAGGCGGCGGGCTGTCCATCATCATCAGCGAAATGGCATGCTGCAATACGTCACAATAATGCATTGATAAGGTTCTCATATGGCTGTTCAATATTGTATTTTCAGTTCTCTATGTCGTTCCACAAATATAATAACATTCAAAAATTGTGTTCGAACCTTAATATTGTAAAAAATGTTTATTTAAAATGGATTAATTTTACAAAAAGCAAAATACGTTAAATTTACATCAATTGGCGCAAAATAGGGTTCACAAGGTACGAAAAAGGCCAATTGGCGTTGCCATCTTTGCAAATTATTTCCCCTCGAAGATTGCGCCAGAAAAATTTTTTCTAAATCAAATCTCTCTTCATACAGGCTGTAAATAGGTTTTTTCTTGGATTTTTTTGTTTGGTAGATTTTTTTCACTCTATAATAAGTTTGTTATTCCGTTTGTAACACCTCGAAATATACATTTTAGACACCACAAAGTATATAAATTCCTCTATGGAAATCACTCTAACTTCCGAACGAAATGCAGCGATATTATTCACCGGAAATGTTTCAAATTTGGTATTTGAAGATCGTAATGGATACTACAGCCTATGACAGAAAATTGTCCATGCCTTCGTATAGCTCCCCTTATAAAGGCACCTCTCGATATTTATTTTGATTGATTTTAGTGATATTATTCACCGGAATTGTTTCAAATTTGGTATTTGAAGTTCGTAATGGATACTACAGCCTATGACAGAAAATTGTCCATGCCTTCGTATAGCCCCCATAGAACGGCACCTCCCGATATTCAGTATTTTGATGATTTTAGCGATATTATTCACCGGAATTGTTTCAAATTTTGTATTTGAAGTTCGTAATGGATACTACAGCCCATGACAGAAAATTGTCTGTGCACGTGTACGTTTTGGTAAAGCCTCCATATAACAGCACCCCCCCATTATTCAGTATTTTGATAATTTTAGCGATATTATTCACCGATTTTTTTCCATGACAAAAGTTGCCTTTGCAGGTGCACGTCGCCGTATAGGCCCAAATTTTAACAGCATTTTTTAAGGATTGTAACAGAACTTTTGAAGTATTTTTTTTTTTTTTTGAAAATTTGCCAAATTCTTCCCAAATGGTGGAGAGTATTCAAAGTTCGGCGCGTCCGAACTTACAGGTTTTTCTTACTTTTTTTGGGAAAATAATTTTTTTTTGGAAAATTGTTTCTATTTTAAAGTTCAGGGCATACGATCTTACACCTTTTCTTAATGTTTTTTTTTTTGGAAATGATTTTTTTGTTTTCTTGAAAAATTATTTCTTTTTAATTTTTTTTCTATTGGTTTTTGAAATTTATTAATTAATTTAATTTTTTTTTTTGAAATTGATTTATTTATTATTTTTTTTTCTTTTTGGAAAAATATTTGTTTTCCTAAGAAAAAAAAATAATTTCTTATCATTTAGTCACCTATGTCCTTGATGGACTGTGTTGGCACATGTCCTTTGTGCCTTTGACCCCAATTATTACTAATGCGCTTAAGCCAAGGTGGCTGGTGGAATTCCCACCTCACCCCCTTCCCATCCTTCTGTATGCTTTGAAATAATCGCCTCCAACAAGGCAATATGACTATCTTGGTAGACACGAATTGATTAGAAAATGTGGGGGTATTTTTTTTCAAGGCATCACCCTGGGATGGGCATAGAAGTTGACGTCATTTTTTTCATATTGTATTGAAAACGCAAAAAGATGAAATGTGCCTCTTTTACATTACAAGTGGTTTTGTTGTTGCTTCATTATGTAAAAAAAAGATGATGCTAGGCTTGGTTATTTGCGATATTTTCATAGAAAAAACACACGTCTACACACACATACATTTACATGCATGCACTTGAATAACAATGGATTCATTGTTAGCTATTTTTAAGGAAAATTTTTCAATTTTATTTTTAAATATTTTTATGTATTTTTTCTTCTTCTTTTCAATTGCAGTTAACCCATTTATTGTAATCTCACAACCCAAACAAAATGAGCTCTGCTGAATACTATCCATTCAAGGTAAGTCGTAATATTTGAAGATAAAGCTAATAAATTATTCAAATAATAAAACATTTCAATTACAGTGGTAATTTCTTGATAAACCACTTGAAAATAAAGCCTACAAACTTTCCCTTTCGCCGATTAGATGTGAAATGTATTTTTGGCTGTACTACTTCATTACCTTATCGGAAATGTTTATTTTTAATAATTGTCTAAATTAATTGTTAATATTTTTATCATGGTTTCCGCTTAAAATGTTTGTATTTTTTTTTTTTTTTTGTGATTCATATCACTCCACATAGTTTAAATACCCTTGCCAGCCCTGTCTCTTTGTGGTTGAGCATTTTGGTTTTGTCGATAATGACACACTTGTTGAGAATACTAAACATTTGTTGTGTGTTTCGAGTTGGTGCAATAATTATTCACTTCGAAATGGGTAGGGTAATTGTTAATAATACGCCAATGAATCATTTCAATAATGCCTTTGGGTGGCATGTATTTTTTCATTGTAGATTTCCCTACACAATGTTTAGTAATGAGGTCGCCTAACGACATTAAGTGCATTTTTTATTTTCCAATAATGTATTTCCTTATAAAAACGCAGTTTTGCTAAGCTGTGCAATTAAATTTTCTGCCCGTCAATGCAATTCAGCAGAGGGGAAATGTAGTTCGTCCGCGAAATGCAATTCATCTGAGTTGCGTTTTAATTTTCTATCCAAGAAATGTAATTTATCTATGCTTAAAAAAATATAAATGCAATTCAGCTATGGAAATTTAACTTTTCCGCAAAATCCCAAACTCACCTAACCTGAATTATGGTTTTCCATCATTTTTGAGTTTAAAAATGAATGTCTGTTAACATTTTTACATCAGCCTAATCTTGGATATCCGCTTGGCAACGCCGATTGAGTTTTTCGTTCCTCGTGAGCCCTATATTCTTTGCCTATTGGCGCAAATTTTGATGCACTATAGTTTGCAATAAAAGTTAAGGAACTTAAACCAACTAATTTTCAATATTACGATTCAAATATAAGTGTTGGATACTGTTCAGTCCTTAATATGTGCTCAAAATTTCTAAATTATATTCCCCCTTAAAGCATTTTGATCAAGAGATCGATTCTCCAATCATAATTGTGGAGAAATTATTTGCGAAGATGGCAATGCTGATGGGTCTTTTTCGTTCCTTGTGAGCCCTATACGTTTTGCAAACAAAGTTGCAAATTGGCGCAAATTTTAAAGGGCTTTGGTTTGCTATTTAAGTTGAGCAACTTAAATCAACTAATTGTCAATATTAGGATTCGCATGTTAGTGTTCGATACTGCCCAGTCCTTAATATGTGCGCAGAATTCTTAAATTCTATTCCCCCTTAAAGCATTTGTCTCAAGAGATCGTTTCTTCAATCATAATTGTGGAGAAATTATTTGCGAAGATGGCAATGCTGATGGGTCTTTTTCGTACCCTGTGAACACTATACGTGTGCAAAACAGTGCAAATTAGTGCAAACAAAAGTTGAAGTGCCTTTGTTTTTTTATGAAATTAGGAAAATTAAGCAACTTGAGCCTTTATTTTTAAATAATAGGATTCAAAAATATGTGTTGGTTGTTCATATTATATAAACTATTGCCTTTCACAATTAAAAAATTCCTATTGGAGGCTTTGCAAACATTTTTCCTCTGAGATTGCTCGTTACAAAAATTTAAGAGTGACTGAGTTTTTAACCGCTTTATCAATAAATTATATGCAATTTTTAGTAAATTGCCTAAATAATAAACTCAATTTAAAAACGAAACCCAATCAAAATGTTGTTCTTCAGCTGGGGATTTATTTAAATTTTTCATTTCAAAAAATTGTATAAACATATATTTATCATTTCATTTTTTTCCAATTTCAGTGCACCCCCACTGTCTACCCTGCCGATCCCTTTGATCCCGTCGAAGATGCTGCCATCTTGCGCAAGGCCATGAAGGGCTTTGGCACCGACGAGAAGGCCATCATTGAGGTTTTGGCCCGTCGTGGCATCGTCCAACGTTTGGAAATCGCCGAAGCTTTCAAAACCTCATATGGCAAAGATTTAATCTCCGAATTGAAATCTGAATTGGGTGGTAAATTTGAAGATGTCATCATTGCTCTGATGACACCACTGCCACAATTTTATGCCAATGAATTGCATGATGCCGTTGCCGGTTTGGGTACCGATGAGGAGGCTATCATTGAAATTTTGTGCACATTGTCCAATTTCGGTATTAAGACTATTGCTCAATTCTATGAGCAAAGTTTCAACAAATCTTTGGAGTCCGATTTGAAGGGTGACACCTCGGGTCACTTCAAGCGTTTGTGTGTGTCCCTGGTGCAGGGTAATCGTGATGAAAATCAGGTAAGCTTGAAATAATTTATATTTTTTAAGAAAAAGTTGGTAATTTTGATTATTTTTCCTGCAGGGTGTTGATGAAGCCGCAGCCGTGGCCGATGCCACCGCCCTCCACGAAGCCGGTGAAGGCCAATGGGGCACCGATGAGTCAGTATTCAATTCCATTTTAGTTACCCGCTCCTACCAACAGTTGCGCCAGATTTTCCTGGAATATGAAAACTTGGCCGGCCATGACATTGAAAAAGCCATCAAACGTGAATTCAGTGGTGCCGTTGAAAAGGGCTTCTTGGCCATTGGTGGGTTTATTTTTAATTTTTTTTATTTTCAATATTTGGTTTATTTTTAATTTTTTATTTGAATTTTCGCCATTAGTACGTTGCTGCAAATCCAAGGTCGACTACTTTGCCGAACGTCTGTACGATTCCATGCACGGTTTGGGCACAAAAGATAAGACTTTAATTCGCATTGTTGTCAGCCGTTCGGAAATTGATTTGGGTGACATCAAAGAAGCATTCCAAAATAAATATGGCAAGAGTTTGGAATCATGGATCAAGGTAAGGAATTTTGTGTTTCCAATTTTCCCACACACATAAATTGACATACAAACATACATATTTACATGTTTTCATAATTGGTGTTGGGTCTTACAAATTTACTAATTGCGCCATCCAGTCATCAAAAGTAGAAAACCCGTTTCGAAAAAGTATTTTGTAAATTGTATGGCACTGAAGTCAGATGGTGAAAATTTGGAGTTTTTTTTGGGGAAGAGGGAATTTATTTATCCATTCCCTTCTTAACCAATAAACTCAAGAAAATGTTCACTATCTGCCTTTAAAATAATTGTATACAATTTTGGAAATTCTTTTCGAGACTTTTGTTTTATTTCCTCGTCTGCATGTTTGCATATGAATGTTGTATTATAATGGTTTTGTTTTTGTAGTAGCTATGTAGAAATGGGCTTTAAAATCATTTTTCTGAAAACCTTCTGTATTTTGTATAGAGTTTTGTGCATTTACTTTTTATACACGACAAAGAGTTATAAATCCCATTTACATATTTTACACTTCACAGAAATAAGGCGGGTTCAAGGCTAAGTTTTAAGTAAGAAAGCCGCGCCTATTTTACCTATAAATTGATTCGAGTCACAATAGGCGATAGGCATACCTAATATATGTGATTGGATGCGATTTATGTCTTTGGCACATTTTTAATCTCACCCCAATCGTGAAAATCCGTACAGATTTCAAAAATTCTATTTCCGTGGAACGCATTTTTCTCAAGAGAACATTTCTCCAATCACTAAATAATTTGCGAAGATGGCAACGCTGAGCTGGGTCTTTGTCGTTGCTTGTGATCCCTATATGTTTTGTAAATTAGTACAATCTTTTAAATTCATTCCTTTAAAATGTTTAACAACTTGACTAATTTTCGAATATAAGAGCATACGAGTTGTTTGAAAACCGTAATAATGCCGATAATTTTGAAAATTTCTTTTAAATGCTGGAGAATATTGGCTTTTTAACTTATTTAAATCAATTATTGAATGATATCGCATTGACTTTCGTATCATCGTGGGGAGAAGGGCCTTCTTTTTTCCGTTTTTTTTCTAAATTTTAATCCCCTTTAAATATATATTGGCCTTTTTTTGAAATTTGCTTCGAATGTGTTGCTGTCAATGACTAGGAAGGCAGAAGGCTTGCGTTAAACAAAGTATCAATCGCCTTTGTTTTTGTAAAAAAATGCAATGCGTTTATTTCTAAAGAAAAAGTAACTGTATATTATGAAAAACAACAGTTATGATAAAATATAAATCACTTAACGCAGTTTTACGGTCCTTCTTCAACAAGATCAAAATATTAGGAGAAAGAGAAATCAACTAAACATCGGTAATTCACTATGAACTAATAATACAAATAACAATCGATAGTATTGATTTGTGCGATTTTTTTACAAAATGGCGTTTTAATTGGTTGAGGGATTATTGCTGAAAATAATTAAATTAAATTAAATGAAAATATTGAAGTCATTCGAATCTAAAATGTTAAAAACTATTCCATACTATTCCATAGTAAGTACTCAATTTATTTGAGAAATAAGGACCAATGATGGCATGACTTTTGTCAAAAAAAACTCTTCAGTTGGCTTAATCAAATTGCAATCTAAAACGGACTGGAACTTTTTTTTTTTGTAAACATTTGATTTTTAATTGAAATTTTAATTTGAATATAAACGTAATTCTATGTGTCGCCTGTTGTTTTGAAAAACTCTAATGCGCTTTTCTTTCAAATTATAACCCATTTAAAAATAGTATTGGCAAATTTATTTGTAATTCCTCTTGTTTAAACGGTGCGGTTTTTTTCTAAAATATGATAATTATTTAGAAATATTGTAAAAAAATGAATTCAATTACATTTTGTCAGGAAAATTATTTGGTAAAGCCAGAGCTTTAAAGGTTAAAGGTGACAATACATAAGACGTTTTTTTGACTGGGTTAAGTCATCGGCTTGCTTCTTCGTAGAGAAACAAAGGAGTTTTAGGTTGACTTAGCTCGATTTTGGTCCCAGGCTCCTTTGTTCATTTCCGAAGTAGCCAGCCAGTTTACTTAAGCCAGTCAAAAAAGCGATTTATGTATTCTCAACTAAAGGGACTCTTTAAGGGCATTAAAATTAAAAAAAAAAAATTATATACCTCCCGCAAATGAAGTTCCTTATCATTTCGAAATTGGCTTTATCAACGAATTTTCTTGACACACTGTAATTTGAAATAAGTCTTTTTTTCTTTTTTACATTTTTCTGTGTTTCAAAATTGAATTTTGTTTTAATTAAAAAATATATCCCCCAATTCGTTATTTGCAGGGCGATACCTCTGGTGATTACAAACGTGCCCTATTGGCGATTGTTGGATACTAAGAACCCATACCCAAAAATCTTCTACTATTATATACCCCCTTCTCCTCCTATCAAATGTAGATAGAAGCGCACACCCTCAACGTTTTTTGCGTTCATTTAAGAGAAATATACAAAAGAAAAACCAAAACAATAACTGCAACAACAACCAATAAGCCTTAAGAAAAAAGTCTGCCTTCAATTAAAAACTACTACTACTATTACTATAGGATGGTATTATAAAAAAAAACAAAGAATCGAATATTTTATTTTTCTAAATCTCAACACTTTTACTGTGACCAATTGACCATAACATAAAACAAACAAACAAAATTCCGTTTGTACAATTTTGACATCAAGATAAACAACAAAAAATCCCAATGACAACATTTACTTTTTTATTATTATTAAAATAATTATTAATAATGTTTTTTATAATACTTTAAATATTATACTACTTCTCTATTTTTATACTATATTTACCAAACTACAAACACCTATATAAATATAGTTACTTTTTTTTCTCCTCCCATAAATTGTAATAATATTTTTTACATACATTCATGGCTATTTAGAAATGTGTTATTACATTTTTTAACAACATCTTGTAATTGTATTTTGAAAACAAAACATGCACCACCAACCACCCTCCATATATCTTGAGTAATAACTGCAATTTTGTTATAGCTGTCTGTTTATTTTTAATTTTGTTTTGTTTTTTAATCAACTGGTTTGAAAACATGTATTGAAATACTTAAATACAAACAAGAAAATACAAAAAAAAAATAAAATTGGAATTTTTTTAATTTACTATTGGGAAAAGTGTTTTCTTTAGGAAAAAAACTTGATGAAACAAGACAAGAAAACACATTTTGAACTTTTGCCATAAATATTTTAGTTTAAGTTTTATATTAAAATATTAAAATTTCATGATTTTTTGCATATTCATAATGTATTTTAGCCATTATTGTCCTGTCCATTTTCAAAACTCGATCATTAATACATATTCTATTTACACTCATATAACTCATTTTTGCATTGGTTTCGGGGTCCAATAACATCGATATCTTAAGTAAATCCATCATAATGTGACTAATATGAAGATAAAGTAGCCATAAATTTATAAATAAGCGATTTTATTTATTTTTATACATCTAATATGAACGTCTTATAATTTTGCAACGGGTCATCTCTATTCCAAAAAAAAAAAAAATGGGCGAAAAAGAGAAGATAGGACAAGACAGAGTCAAAATATGGCAACCCTGTGAAAATACCTCTGTTGTTATGATATCATAACAACATAGTTTCCAATGTTAGCTGATTTAAACCGCTAAGACAATATGCAAACTTTTGAAAAAGTCTATGGGATAGAATTTTGGAATCATTCTTGTAAGTTTAAATCGGTGTTGCCAAAAAACCCTTTTAATTCCATATGTCACAGCCCCGGCCACCTTAAGTCCCCAAACGTAGTTAAAAGGATCTTCTCATATCAATGACCATCCATTGTGAGTGGACTAAAAACATGTCCATCTTAGGTCGCAAGTATGGTAAAATGAAAAAGGTAACTTCAAAATGATTATTTACAAATCCATAATTTGCGAAGATGGCAACGCTAATGGGCATTTTTCGCACCTTGTGAACCCTATTTACAAATTACATAGACCTAGTTTAAAGGGCAGAAATAATTTTTCTCGAAAGATAATTCCTTTAATTATGATTTCTGAATATAACCTGGCGTTTTGATTCCTAGAAATCGCCATCTTTGCCCTTCAACAAGGGTTTCGTTTCAAAGTTCCAAAAAAAAATAATTATGATACAGGAGAAACAATTTTTTAGAATGGCAACGCGAATGGGTCTTGTTTGTACCTAGTGTACCCTATTTGTGTTACCATTTTATGCAATATTTACTTTCTTTCTTTCTTTTGTTATGAAAGTAATTTGTTATTTTTTTTTTTAAATTGGCGTTTCGAATTGGCGATTCGAATATACATTTTGGTTGTCCAGAATCGTTATTTTCACCAATGCTTCTTGATCGCTTTTAAAAATTAATTATTGAAAAAGAATGCAAAAATAAGTAAAAACGCTTTTTGTATGTATTATTAACAATCATTGAATATATGGTACATGGTAGTCGTATCGACATAGCTGATGGGACAATGAACTGTCAAACCAATTTTGGAATTGAAATTGTTAAATGAGAAATTATTCAAATTTGTAAAAAATTAAAAAAAAAATGCAAATGAAAATTGTTAAGGAAAACATATACAAATCTACTTATTGTTGAAGAAACATTAAAAAAATGTTTACCTATCAACGATCACAAGCGTTGATGCATCTACCTGTATTCTCCTACCATAATATAGTACAAATTATTATTTTTTTTTTTAATCAAAACATTTTTACAAAAAAAATTGATTGAAAAAACTGAATTTTTAACCACTACGAGCAATTAACCCAATCATAAACATCCGCACGGAATTCTATAACCACCGACAGCATTTTTCTTCAATGATACTTCCTCCAATTTTGAATAACTAAGGAAAAACAATTTAAGAAGGTGGCAACGCGAAAGTGAATTTTTCGTACCTAGTGTATCCTATTTTTGTGCAAACTTGAAATGCTTTGTTTTTTGTTTGTTATGAAAATTAACAACTTAAGAGCACAAAATTACAATACTACGGTTCGGATATAAATTTTGGACCTTCATACGTCTGTAAAGCAACATAGAAATTTGAAAATACTATCCTGCGTGGTTAATTTCACCAATACTTGTTGGTCGCATTTGTAAATCAACTTTTAAAATAGGTTGCAAAAATAATTATAAACACTGTCTGTGTAACACCTATTAATTTTTTTTTCTATCCAAAAATTCTTAATAAAATTAGAGGTGAAAAAATGTTCTGTAGATAAATTCAAAATAACTGAATTTTTAATCACTCAACCCAAACATGAATATCCGCAAGGAATTTCCAACAATTTTAAATGACTGAGGAAAAACAATTTGGGAAGATGGCAACGCGAAAGTGTATTTTCCTATCTAGTGTCTCCTATTTGTTGTGCTAATTGGAAATACTTTTTTTTACAACATTTTCAATTCCAAAATTGGTTTGACAGTTCATTGTCCCAGCAGCTGTGTCGACGCGTCTACCTATATTTTTTACCATGGTAGATGAACAAAGGAGTTTTAGGTTGACTTAGTTCGATTTAGGCCCCTCGCTCCTTTGTTCTTTTCCGAAGAAGCCTGCCGCTGACTTAAGTCATTCAAAAAAACTTTTTATGTATTCTCACCTTAAAAAGAAAACATTTCTAATTTAATTTATGTGCATTTAAAAATATATATAATTTTATAATAGGATATTTGATTTTTAAATTTTCCTTTATCAATAATTATTATGGTTTGGCTTATAACTGCAACTGATAAGAACTTATACTTACAACTTATCATATCAATGATAAATTCCCACATTTTATTATAAAACCACTAATTCCTTTTCTAATATTATTGGGACTATACAAATCATGAGTCACCCAAATCACATATTCACACACACTCAAATATATGAAATATTTCAATAACTTTTCTTTGGGCTTTACTTTTCATTTCGAAAGCAAAATTGCCAAGCACCTAAACTTTTTTACTTACAAAAGAAAAACAATTTTTTCTATTCTTCTTCTTCTTTTTTGAATTTCTTCCCAATATCGAATTTTCTTTAGGAGGATTCTGAAAGTGAAATTGGTTATTTGTTGGCTACCATGGTGGCTTGGTAAAGATAAATAAATAACTTCTACCCATAAATGCAACAGAGCAACTTCTAGTAGTACTACGTTCACACGGTGTATGGGAAATAGGCACCTGTGTTTCGGTGGAAAATGAAAACAACTAAATGACATTTATGTAAAATATATTATATATTTATGGCAGTATTTTTTTTCTTTATTCTATTCCAAATTTCGTTGCAAACAAGAACAACCAAAAATTTTGAGATTAATTTTTTTTAAAAATCAATATTTATATTATTTTATAAAATATAGTAGTCCATTGTATTTTAAATACACCATGTGGCCTTTATTTATGGTAACGATTTATATATATTTTTATATAGCAATGCTTTTATATATTAACCAAATTTTAAATTCATTAATCATTTGTTCAAATCACAATGTCAATGATAATAAAAAAACAACATTTTTGAAATCGAAAAAGTTCTAAACATTTGCTGTTGTTGCATTTTTATTCTTCCAGGAGGATGTGGAAGGGGATGTTGGCAAAGTTTTGGTGGCCTTGACTGCCTATTGAAAATGCTCTTCCCTCACAAATTTGTGTATATTTGTAAATGATTTTTGTTTAAATTTTCGAAAAAAAATCCCTATATTTCCAAATTTTAAATATTTAAAAGTATTATCAATCTGTATGTATTTGGACAAAATTTAAACAAAATAAAATAACAATAATAAATTAAAAATTGAGTTTTTGATGAAAAGCAAAATGTGGACTAATAGTATGTTTACATTGTACGAATTTATATATACGACGGTACAATATATGAGAACCATTTTTAAATGTTTAAGTGTTACCATGGTGAAATTAAGAAGGTTAAAGGTGGAAATACATAAAGTGCTTATTTGGCTGGCTTAAGTCATCGGCTGTGTTCTTCGTAGAGGAACAAAGAAGTTTTAGGTTAACTTAGTTCGATTTTTGGCCCTGTTCATTTCAAAAGAAGCCAGCCAATGACTTAAGCCAGCCAAATAAACGCTTTATGTGTTTCCACCTTAAGTCATTTCGAATAAGCATATCCATCTCTGCATTTTCTGTAATTTACGTTGTCATGCTTAAGGTGAGAGTACATAAAAAGCTTTTTTGAATTAACTTACTTAAGTCTTCGGATGGCTTCTTCGTAATAAAACAAAGGAGCGTTGGGCCAAAATAGAACTAAGTTAACCTAAAATTCCTTTGTTTCTATACGAAGTTATCCGCTGGCTTCTTCGTAGATGAACAAAGGAGTTTTAGGTTAACTTAGTTCGATTTTGGTCCCAGACTACTTTGTTCATTTCCGAAGAAGCCAGCCGATGACTTAAGCCAGCCAAATAAGTGCTTTATGTATTTCCACCTTAAGTTATTTCGAATAAGCATATCCATCTCTGCATTTTCTGTAATTTACTTTGTCATGCTTAAGGTGAGAGTACATAAAACGTTTTTTGACTGGCTTAAGTCATCAGCTAGCTTCTTCGTAGAAGAACAAAGGAGTTTTAGGTTGACTTAGTTCGATTTTGGCCCCAAGCTCCTTTGTTCTATTCCAATGAAGCCGGCCGATGAATTAAGCCAGTCAAAAAAGCGTTTTACGTATTCCAACCTTTAGAACGGGATTTCCATCTCTGATTTGGATTAATATCAATTTTATTGTCAAATGAATAATTTTAAAATATGAAGAATGAATAAATTTAAAATTGTAAACATATGATTGCATGACTTTACCTTCTTAATTCTACCATTAAGTTTTACCAAAACTTGATTAAAATGGAAAAAGTTATCGAACAACATGTTGTTATAATTTGTAGAAATTTTTCAGTTTTTTCGTGAATTGAAAAGTCAGGAATACACTCCCTCATCTCCAGAGTCCCCTAAAATCTCAAAAAATAATGGAGGTTTCTAGTATCTGAAGAATTTGGTGTGTGGCCAGGTTGCTAGAGCTTGGAAGATAATTGCAATCATCACATATACGGTTCACACAACACAAGTTCTCTTACTAGTTTTAAAGCACATAGGCTACTCGCCAAATTAACAGGTATATTT